ACAGACACGCAGACAGAGGCAGACAGACACAGACAGATAGATAGATAGACAGACACACAGACAGAGGCATATTCAGATAGATAGATAGATCGCTTTTCAGTTTCAGTTGTTCTGAATGCACAATAATCACAAGTCCATTTGGAAACAAGTTAAAATGGTTGTCAAGCCAACAATTTCCTCTTCTAACATATTTCTTTTTAAAGTTTAAGTAGTACATTTTAAGTCGAGATGCATTCTGTTAGGATGTCAGTTCAGATCTTATGTGTGTGTTTTTCTTCTAGACTGGGTTCCTCTTGCTCCGGCTCTGTTCTCTAGATTCATTCCTCAGATCGATCCTCCTGCTCTCGAATCTCAGCTCCCGTATTACGCGGCTCAAGATAAAACACTGCAGATGGAGCTTTCTCAGAACGGCTTCTCCAGGTACCGCTGTCCGCAAACCTCAGGCTGTATCTGTAAATGATGTTAAATCACACGACTGACTTCAGCTGTTTCACAGGGGCGATCAGTCACGGAAGCGAGCGAGCGAAGAATCGTGACAGCGAAGTGGATTTATACTCGACTTTGGTGACACGCCTGTGATTACGATTACACTCGCTGACAAGCTGCTGCAATTTAAGCCTTCGTAATTCATTGAAAATCACTTCACAGCAGACTTTATCTGATACAGAGATGCTTCATCTCTTCATGCAGTCCTTTGGGAATTCTCAGTTATTTGGAGGGTTCACAAAAGCATTACACAACTACACAAACATGAGCATCACCGCTACGGTCTTTGTGGGATTGCCTCTTTTCTCTTGCTGTGGATTAGCTTCACAGTATTCATCATATTTCCAGGTTGATGTTTTGAAGCGGGCTGCTGTTTTCCCTTTCTCCTCATTTTTCCATGCTTTGTCGTTCAGTGAAATCATCCGGTTTGCTGTGATTTCAGAAAAGATGGTAACGTGATGAATGAAGGTATTCAAAATCCAGATTCTTACCCAATTATTGCATTTTTTTTATTTTAGGATCACTACTGTAGTTTTAAACAGTTTTAGTTGTCGCGTGATTACCATTTTACTTAATAATAACGTGCCTTTCGCTGTTCGCCGTTTTTTTTTTCAGTTTTAAGTGAAATGTAAAATGCAAGTCAATCATTTATTATGACAGCTGTTGATTTTTTGTCACAAAAAATTTAATCTGGAACCACAACAGTTTGTGAAAAACAGCACAGATAAAGGACTGGTGTGATATAAAGGGCTGCTAATAATTTATCTGGAATAAACTCATGACACTGAAACAAGAATTGTGTGTAATAACTTTCATTAAGTCATTACAAAGCAATATTATATATATATAATGCTAAATAGATCATTAGTTAATGGCCATTTCATTCATAAATGTTCATATTTGAACGTATGTGAGGTATAATATAAGCATTATATAGTAATGTTATTATAATATTGTTTATGGCTTATTATAAAACAAAAAGGATGCAAATATTTTTTTTGAATAAACACATGACTTTAAAATTGTTAATAACTTAGTGAGTCATTACAAGCAGTATTAAGTTATATAATGTTAAATAGATCATTAATGCACATTTTATTCATATATTTTCATATTTCAGAGTATATTTAGGCATTATCTAATAATGTTATTCTAATATTGTTTATGTCTTAATAAAGATGATTAAACGGTGCAAGGGAAGCGAAACATTGATCATATTAGGGGTAATTTTTGTTTAACTCAGCTTAAAGACAGTTAAACCAAAGTTAAATAAATAATATTTTTTATGAGAATTTCATTTTAACCTCTTTACAAAACGTACAGTGTATGAAATGAGCAAAATGGCGAGCAGAACACTTGAAAATAAACAGTTGTTAACTAATTGAATATGATCTCTCTTGTTTTTGTAATTTTCTATTGTTTTGTATTATAGTTCAAATCTAAAAGCATTACAGTGTATGTTTTGCATTGCAATAAAGATGAGAGAAAATTGTCATGTAATAATGTCACAATGCAAAAGAAAAATGTAATTGTCCTCAAAACAGGACGATACATTATTAATTTGAATATGTTATTCATGTTCCTCATAGAGAACTTGGAAATGTTAGGAAATTTTATATTTCATTTCCAAACCTGGTGAATATGAGTTTTTCTAGTTGTGCTCATCTCTGAATTTTTGATTTGTTCGTTCACAGGTCTCTAAATATCTACAATCGTGGTACGCTTGGTAAATATGATCGAAGCTTTTATTTAAAAAATTCACAAAAATCTAACCTTTCATTGAACTAAAACAATTGAAAATGGGGGAAAATCTCATTATGAAATGTTTTTCTTAAATACACGTTGGACACAACGTGAAATTTTTATGAGTAAAATATCTGTGAACTATATTCCCATTCACGTTTACAATTTTGAGCACACCAGGGTGATTATAAACATAAATTATCCTGTTTCACAGGAATATAAATAGGAGGGAAAACAAAGGCCAAATTCCCTAAATCATCATCACAATGAGAAAAACCAAAGAATATATTTCTGATGTGCAGCAAAAGATAATTGAGCTTCACAAATTAGTGAAGTGGCTTTAAGAAAAGAGCTAGAGCAGTGAAGATTCCCATTTCCACCATCAGGGCAATGATTAAGAATTTCCAATCAACAGAAAATGTTATGAATCTGCCTGGAAGAGGACGTGTGTCTATATCGTCCTAATGCACGGTGAGGAGGAGAGTTTGAGTGGCTAAAGACTCTGTAGAAAATGAGTGTGGTGAACTGAAGAGGAGAAGCATCATCATGGAGCTGTGAATCTGAAGGATCTGGAGAGATCTGGATGAAGGAATTGTCTCTGATCTCTTGTCAGATGTTCTCTAAACTCTTCAGGCAATATAGGAGAAAACTCAGAGCTGTTATTATGCCAAATGGAGGTTTCAAAAAGTATTGAATAAAAGGGCACCGTTAATTGTGGCCAATGTGTATTAGAGAAAAACATTTATTTCATAATAATATTTCCCCCCATTTGAAATTCTTATTCTTCAATGAAAGGTTAGATTTTTGTGAATTTTTTAAATAAAAGCTTCGATCATATTTACCAAGCGTACCACGATTGTAGATATTTAGAGACCTGTGAACGAACAAATCAAAAATTCAGAGATGAGCACAACTAGAAAAACTCATATTCACCAGGTTTGGAAATGAAATATAAAATTTCCTAACATTTCCAAGTTCTCTATGAGGAACATGAATAACATATTCAAATTAATAATGTATCGTCCTGTTTTGAGGACAATTACATTTTTCTTTTGCATTGTGACATTATTACATGACAATTTTCTCTCATCTTTATTGCAATGCAAAACATACACTGTAATGCTTTTAGATTTGAACTATAATACAAAACAATAGAAAATTACAAAAACAAGAGAGATCATATTCAATTAGTTAACAACTGTTTATTTTCAAGTGTTCTGCTCGCCATTTTGCTCATTTCATACACTGTACGTTTTGTAAAGAGGTTAAAATGAAATTCTCATAAAAAATATTATTTATTTAACTTTGGTTTAACTGTCTTTAAGCTGAGTTAAACAAAAATTACCCCTAATATGATCAATGTTTCGCTTCCCTTGCACCGTTTAATCATCTTTATTAAGACATAAACAATATTAGAATAACATTATTAGATAATGCCTAAATATACTCTGAAATATGAAAATATATGAATAAAATGTGCATTAATGATCTATTTAACATTATATAACTTAATACTGCTTGTAATGACTCACTAAGTTATTAACAATTTTAAAGTCATGTGTTTATTCAAAAAAAATATTTGCATCCTTTTTGTTTTATAATAAGCCATAAACAATATTATAATAACATTACTATATAATGCTTATATTATACCTCACATACGTTCAAATATGAACATTTATGAATGAAATGGCCATTATATTTCCCCCCATTTGAAATTCTTATTCTTCAATGAAAGGTTAGATTTTTGTGAATTTTTAAAAATAAAAATCAAAAGGATTAACAATGCATATTTATTTTCACAGCCACCTTTGATCATATTTTCCATGGGTACCAACAATTCTGACCATGGCTGTATATCTATATCTATAATAATGAGATGTTGACAGTAAATTGTCATGAAAATAATGTCATTGCATCAGTGTCTCAGCAATGGGTGCCGTCAGAATGGGAGTCCAAACATCTGATAAAAACATCACAATAATCCACAGCACTCCAGTCCATCAGTTAACATCTGGAGAAGACATAAGCTGAAACTAATCCAGCATTAAGATGTTTTTAACTTCAAACTGTTGCTTCTGGCTAAAATACGAGTCCATAATAACACTTCCTCCAGTGAAAAAGTCCATCTGCTGTTGTCTCTCACATCAAAATCCAGCCACATATTTGTTTAGAGCCGTTTAAACGCTGCTTGATCTGTGCAGATTTCTCTCCTGATTCAGATTCAGACCAGAACACTTTTTCACTGGAGGAAGCGTTATAATGGATTATGGACTCATATTTTAGTTAAAAACGTCTTAATGATAGATTTGTTTCTTACAAACACAACTTTTGTCTTCTCAAGTCATTAACTGATGGACTGGAGTGCTGTGGATTATCGTGATGTTTTTATCAGCTGTTTGGACTCTCATTCTGACGGCACCCATTCACTGCAGAGCATCCATTGCTGAGACACTGATGCGATGCTACATTTCTCCAAATCTGATGAAGAAACAAACTCATCCTAATCTTGGACGGCCTGAGGGAGAGTACACTTCCAGCAAATGTTCATTTGTGGGTGAACTATTCCTTTAACGCCCATAATGCACTGCTTCTGTGTCCTCCAGACTGTCATAGGTGCTTCACAAAGGTGTCACCCTTCTCCTGACAGCATTCTCACCGGCCAATGAGGAGCGATCGTTCCCTGGCACACGCTTCAAACCCTCCACCTCCCTCAAATAACCTGCCACCGACACGCTGGCACATGTTTCTGCTTTACTGGCGGCCGGTCACTGCCTTGCTGCTGTAAACTCCAAGGTTAACTTTGCTCAAGACTAGGAAAAAGCTGTGGCAGCTGTGCTCAGGCCAGCTCTGGAAAGCTGGAGTTAAGTGGTTTCTAAGCAGGTGCAGTAGATCTATGCATTGTGGACATTCACACAAGTCACAGGTAAAGCACCTTGTTGTCTAATGACTTATTTATCCCACTTAATGCTTTTATTATATGCATGCAAGGCACTCACTTTTTAATATGCTTAACTATGGAGTAAAATTGCATCCAGCTATGTATATGTTTGTCCAGACAGAGTCAGTTTCTATTTTCGTTTAGCATGTCATAACAGTTCCAGAGGTAGTAAATCATAATGCATTGACTCTTATAGAATAGTTTACTGGTCATTCTGCTTTTGCAAAAGTTCTTGTAATGAGTCATATGATTTATAGTGTTGTATTTTGCTCATGTAAAGTGAGCTATGCTATAATTAGCAGTGAGGTTAGGTTGGGGGGGCCTGGAGTGTGTTTGCACAGGATTAATGCACACAACAGCTGTCTGCACAGGTCTGCTGGAAGAGCATTGCTGCTGGGCTTAGTTGCTCTGATTTGAGTGTCAGTAGCATCTGCAGGCGTATCCTCTTTCTGGATTCAATAACAACAGCGGGCCAATGGTCAAAGCCTTTCTCAGATTTTGCTAGGAGGATTCAAATGTGTTGATATTAGGCTCTAAATATGAATAGAATTCTGTTTGTTGTGACACAAAAAGCTCTGAATTATCTAAATCAAATGCTTAAAATGTGCACTGAAAAATAGGTGTAGGATTTCAATTAAAATTGCTAGTACATTTCACAAATAATTGCAAAGAAACAATGAATTACAGTAAATGTGAATTTGTTTTTTAGAAGTAGTTAATATTTTCTTCTAAAATGTACCAGTGTTATTTTAGTATTATTGAACTGCTGTTATAGTTTTTATTAATATTCTGAATCAGTTTTTATATTTCCCATTTTCATTTAATTTTAGTGAAAGTTTTAGTGTTTTTGTTGTGTATTTTTGTCTTTTTTTAATAGTTTTTTATATGTATATATTGTTTTATTTCAGTTATAGTTATTTTAGTATATTAAAAATTAAAATGAAAAATGTTGCCTTGCCAACTAGCTGAAATACATTTTCTTAATATTTTATTTTATTTCAGTTAATGTTTATTTTATTTAATGTAACAATGTTATTATGATTTTAATTTTACTTCAAAAGTGTAAATGCATTTTTGTACATTTAATGAAAATGGCATATGCTTTCCAATTTCTTTCTTTTATTGCCTTTTTTTTCCATAGAAAACATTGAAATATCAGGAATTTTTATGATTATTATTTCCAGGCCTGAATGAATAAAATCATTTAGTGAATCTGTGAATGTGAATTTTTCTACTAGTGCTCAGCACCCAATTTTTATTAGTTGATCTTTGTGAGTGCAACTTTGTTAGAAATGATTATTAAAAATCCATATCTAGTTACCAAAAATAACTGGAAAAGATATTAATTGTTCCAAATGTGTTCTGATATTCACAGGGCTCTAAATATCTATTTGATCTTATGTTTTCAGAGGAATATTGTTTGTAGTGGAACAAAAATCTTTTTAAAAAATAAAACAAAAAACCTGAGGTTAAGACATATTATAAAAACAATCTCATCTCTGATTGCAGTATAAATTCAATATCAATATGAAATCAGTGTAGACATATTATGAATTATGTATCCATGTATGCTTAAATAATTTCTACAAGTAGGCATGATATTTATTCAAAAACGTAAGACTAATTTGACGAAAGCTATTCTACTTTTTTTTGGAAAATTATGCTATTATACTTTGTCACAAAAATTGATAATTATTATTTCCAGGCCTGAAAGAATGAAATCTTATAGTGAATGTGTGTTTTTCTATTTGTGCTCAGCTCTCAATTTTTATTAGTTGCTCTTTGTGAGTGCAGTGTTGTTAGAAATGATTATTAAAAATGCATATCTAGTTACCAAAAACAACAAAGATTTTCATTGTTCCAAATGTGTTCTGATATTCACAGGGCTCTAAATATCTAACGATTGATCTCATGGTTTAAGAGAGATCCTGTATGTAGTGGAACAAACAAAATGCTTGAAATGTAACTGCATGTTTATAGTTTTAATGAAATTTGCTTTTATTCCCTATATGAGTTTTTTTTTTGGAATGCTTAAGTTTATATATATATATATATATATATATATAAAAACCTGGAAATGTCAGAAATATTACAGTGATTATGAGTTTATCTAGTTGTGTTCAGCTCTAAAATTGGGGGGGGTATTTATGCATATTATAAGAGCATATAATATAGTATATCATCTCTGATTACAGTATAAATTCAATATCAATATGATATCAGACATATTTTGAGTTATGTATTCATGCAAACTAAATTACTTTCTAAAGTAGGCATGATACATATTCAGAAACATAAGACTAATTTGCAGAAAGCTACTCTACTCTTTTAGATAATTAGAAATTACAGTGGGTTAGCAGAAAGCATTAATAAGCATTAAGCACAAAAATGTCCCTTGATTATTATTGTCTCAGTGTTCTAAAACTTTTCGTCTCCAGCAGCATGCAGGAGAACAGCATGGATCAGCCCACGTCTTTATCGCAGCTTCTGCGTGAGAGTTACCTGGCCGAGGCCCGAGCTCATCACAGACACGGCGAATCCAGCTGCATAGACAGCCCTCGCCGCCTGGTGTACGGGACGCTCAAGGAGAAAGCGGACGACACAGAGCCACAGTTCCCGGACCTGTCTGCCTTCCTGAGCCAGGACGAACTGGACAAGAGCGTGGATCTGGCCTGCAAAGCGTTCAGCAGCGATCCTCGAGAACGTGAGGAGAGATCCGACGCACATCCACCAGTGAGCCACTATAATCTTCCTTCCAGCAAACCCACTCCAGAAACAGAGGTCATTTCAGAAAGACAAACAGTCCAGACTCCCATCCAAGATAATGCGATCAGGAACGTCAGAAGTGCTAGGGAGCCTGCGGCGGATTTCAAAAGACCTCAGAGAAACGCTCCATATGGCTTGGAGACCCAATCCAAGAAGGAGTTCCTCAACAAAGCAGCTGACTTCATAGAAGAGCTTTCGTCTCTGTTTAAAGCCAGCAGCTCCAAGCGAATTCGGCCTCGTGCTTGCAAAACCCACCGGAGCCGATTCCAGAACAAAACCCAGCTTGATGGCACTTCGTACTCCATTGATGCAGAAGATCGAGAAAGACCTATTCTGCTCAACCAGCAGATGGAGGAGCCGATGGAGAAGAGTGGAGTCACGGAGGAGCCTCAGGAGCCGGCTCTGATTCAGACTGAGAGCTCGGAGGAACCCGTGTGTGAACCTCCACACTTCATACAGAAACTCAAAAGCAGGGAGGTTCCTGAGGGCAGTAAAGTCCAGTTGGATTGTATCGTCAGAGGACTGCCTGCTCCTGAAGTTCGGTGAGTTTGAACTGCTTTTATTGATGCACATGATTAGTGCATTATTATTACTGTTGCTCATGCAGAAAGCAGCCAACTAGTAAATGCATGAAATAGTCTTTAGCAACTATACACACGCACAAAAAACTTATACTCAATTTTTTTTACTAAGAAATTGCAAATCACAAATAATTACTCAGCAATTGCAAGTAATGCATTGATTTAAAGGTGACATATCATGAAAATCAGACTTTTCCAGGTTTTAAGT